ATCCAAAACCTGAGTTTATGTTCTCTAAATTCGAAGAATGAATTCTAGAAACAACGGAGGTTAAGAATAGAAAAAATGTATTGAGAGAAAGAAAGCTTCGGTCTAAAAGAGACAGAAGGGGGAAAGTGGGTTGCCCACCCACCCCTCTTTTCAAAGATGGTTTAATCATCAAAGCCATGTAGTGAGGCACCTATAAGGTGGGACAAAACTATAAGACCCAATGGAAATTTACAAGGTGGGCACGAGGTGGGACAAAACCATGACCAACCAATAAGATTATAAATACAGTCACCCAAGTAATATTGATTAAATGGGGATCCAATGGGGAAACAAGTCACAAAGGAACTGAACAAGGATTTTCGGTGCAAAGGGGTGGGTCAGGGATCTTTCTTGGAAGATCTTGTCCCCTACCCAGGTGATTGATACCTATTTAGAATATCAGTCACTGCTATTCATCCTTAGGGGAAGCTCCTGGATGTGATAGTTTCTCTCCTTTTACAACACTGGCCTTCAGTGAATTTGTCTTGATTGTCCTCCAGGTTGACTCCTCCTGGGCTGGCCCTGTCTAACTGCCTACAAGTTATCTAATTAACTTACCTATCTGCAATATTAACAGAAGCAAAGACAGAAATCACATGATCATCTCAATAGATGGAGAACACCCTTTGACAATACACAACATCCAATCATCATAAAAACCCTGAAGAAAATATGTATAAAAGGGTAATATAGCAATCTGACAAAAGCCACTTAGGACATACCCACTGTTAACATCATATTAAATGGGCAAAAACTGAAAACTTTCCCTTTAAAATCAGAAACAAGACAAGGACACTGTCACCACTCCTGTTCAATATAGTACCTGACACATTAGCCAGAGAACTCAGGCAAGATAAAGAAACAAAAGGCATATGTTTAGGAAAGGAAGAAGTCAAATTATCATTACTTACAGATAACATGATCCTATACTTAGAATACCTCAAAAATTCCACTAAAAGTCTCCTAGGATTAATAAAAATTTCAGCAATGTAGCAAGATACAAAATCCACACCAAAATTAAATAGCATCTCTGCATAATAATGAACTCATTGAGAAAGAAATTAGGAAAACAACATTCACCATACCACCAAAAAAATTTAAATACTTAGGAATTAACCTAGTTAATTGTGAAAGACCTAAACAGGACTCTATAAAAGGAGAACAAAGACAACATCAGAAAATACAAAGATATCCCCTGTTCCTGGATAGGAAGAACCAATTTGGTCAAAATTGCTATACTTCCAAAACTGATATATGCACTTAATGCAAGCCCAATCAAAATACCAACACTTTTCCTCATAGAACTAGACAAAACAATTCAAAATTCATATAGAAGTAGAGAAAAGCCAAAATAGCAAAATAAATCCTGGGTAACACGAGCAAAGAGGAGGCATGACAATCCCAGATTTCAAGTAATATTAAAAATCTGGAGTTATAAAATGTAGCAGGGTATTGGCATAAAAACAGATGTGATCAATGGAACAAAATAAATGATACAAAAACAACCTTAGGTACATTTAGCTATTTGTTCTTTGACAAAGGGGCCAAAAAAATACTGAAGGAAAGATAGCTTCTTTAGTAAATTGTGCTGGGAAAATTGGCTATCTACATTCAGCAGATTGAATCTAGAGCCATATATCTTACCATGCATTAAACTAAAATAAAAATGAATCAAAGATATGTTAAAACAGAAACATTGAATTTGTTGGAATATAAAATAGGTAAATTTCCTGAAGATATAGGCATAGGCAAGGTCTTTCTGAAGAGAACCTCAGTGGCATAAGAAATAGAACCTCAGTGGCAAACTCAACAAATTGAATATCAAAATAAAATGCTTCTGTACAGCAAAGAAAATAACTAAATAAAAAGACAACTTACAGTATGAGAAAAAAATTGCCCACTATTCCTCAGAGGACTAATACCTAGAATATATAAAGAACTCAAAAAATTAAACCACCCAAAATAAAAGATCCAGTGGGCAACTGAAATGAAGAGACACTTTTCAGAAGAATTACATGACCAATAAATACATGAAAAATGTTCAACACCCCTAGCCATTAGAGAGATTCAAATTTAAAAAAAAACCTGAGATTATATCTTACTCCAGAAAGAATATCTATCATCATCAAGAAATCAATAACAAATGCTGGCAAAGGCCATGAAGAAAAAGATCCTTTCTACATTGTTGGTGGGAATGTAAACTATTACAACCTCTATGGAAATCATAATGGAGAGTCCTCAAAAAAGTAAAACTAGAAATTCCATTTGACTCAGCTATTCCCCTTCTCAGTATCTTCCTGAAAAACTTAAAGACATTGTTTTACAGTAGTACATGCATACCCATATTTATAACAACACAATTCATAAGTATTGGAAGTGGCCTATATATATATCCATCAACAGATGAATGGATAAAGAAAATGTGGCATTTATATTACAATGAAGTACTACTCTGCCATAAAGGATAATCTTGAGTCATTTGTAAGAAAATGGTTGCACTTTTAGAACATAATGTTAAGTGAAATGAATCAGACACACAAGCTTAATTATTGCATGGTTTCTCTTACAAGAAAAACCCAAATATAAATAAGCAAAATCAAAGATAATAGGAAGCAGAGAGATCTTTTGCCAAAAGGATGAGGAACAAGAGTCAGAAGTAGGGCCAGAGATGTAGCTCAGTGGAGCTGGGCTTGCCTGGCAAGCACAAGGTCCTGAGTTTGATCCCTGGTACTGGAAAAGAAAAAGAGAGAGACAAAGGGAGGTGGAGGGAAAGGAGGGGGAGGAGAGCGGGATGGAAAAATAATTAAAATGTGTTATATACATAAACTAACCTCCCCCAGTGAGTATAATTAATAGTGTACTACAAGCATATACTAATTTTAAAAAGAGAAAAATGAAAAGGAAAAAAACCCAATATAAATTGCATAGCAGGATACATATATCCCGAATTAGAGCTGAAAGCAAGGATGGACTTTATTTCTTTGGAGGAATTAACCAAGTTTTGTATCCTGCATAGTTATGTGTAACTTCCGACCTCCAGTAAGCATGGAACTGAAGAGGGAAATATTGGGTCAAATTTTGGCATACTCACTAAATTACAACTTCATAATTTAGTTGATATTGGAAGGTTAGGGTGTAGAGTGTAAGCCATTCCTAAGGTGGCTAGTCTTACTTGGAAAAATCTGTTCATGGGTATGTTTTTATATTGCACATATCTATCATCTCTCTAGCATTTTAATTTGACCAAAACATTGATCATACACAGTGGGCAAAAAATGCTATAATTTCAAACTAAAGAACTAAATAATTGGCCTGGAAATTCTTGACTTTCAATAATATTAAAAATTTCAAATTAGGAAAGAATTAAATCTAACTCATTTTATAGCTGAACCATCTTCAAAGTTGCCAATAATACCTTGTAAAACTGGAACTAAAGCTCAGATTTTCTGACAATGAGTAATTCTTAATTTAACACATGCACTTGGAAGTAATGTTTTAAAAATACTTCAATACTTAAATAATTTATAATATTACTTTACTGTATTAGCATAATTGAATGAAATTAGCCAAGCATTAAATTCATACATGTGAAGCTGGAGTAAAGGAGATGAATGAATAATAGCTCATGATTATCATTAATTTATTGAGCTGCACTTTCAAAAATTCAGACATTAAATCATTTTGAGTTCTTAGTCAATATACACAAAAGTCCAGCAGGAAGCTACCTAAAAGATCTTTTAGCTTCCACTCTTTCTTTGACAGAGAAGAAACCTGGAGATTAAGAGCTTGCTTAGCAAGTATCAAGTCAAAGATTCTTAAATCTGTGATTTGGAACTGATTTAAACTTTCTGCTCTGCCCATAGCCACTCCAGGCAAATTCACATATCAGTTTATCATCATTCCACCTACTAAGTTTTGGGACAGCTACATAGAAACAAGACTAAACAAAAATGATATTTTAATTACTCTTGTGTTTACTATTGATGCAATAGCATAAACTTGATTAAATGTCTGTATTTGTAGGATGATTGCAGTGTAAGATTACAAGACAGAGCTATTTTGTTATAATTTAATGCTTTGTGGAGCTTAGAGAGCATGAATGCATTTTATAGTCATTTGGAGCATATGTGAGTATAAAGAAAACTTAATAAATGGAAGTATATTTAGATAAATTTAGCTTGATGATGAACATCATTAACATGTTTTCATTTTTTAAAATGTAAGTCGCACTTAATGGGAAAATTTAGAAGGAAAAAAAATTAAGGATTTGCATATAACGTTTAGAGGCACATTAAATGAGTATAGCAGATGTTGTAGCCTTATACCCTCATTAAAATGTGTGGCTTGCCCAGGACTAATAGCCATGCGGGCTCAAAGAGCCAGTGCTTTTTCCTGAATATAGTGCAGCTCTGAAAACTCTCAACCTTCCTGATCTTTTAGGATGTAAAAAGGGAAGTTAGATAATTATCAGAAACACAAGCTACTTGAGGAAATGTGTATAGAGTTATGAAACTCTGCTTTTAAATTTTGGTTTTGTTTTCTATTTTGGAAAAAAAATCCAAGAATACCTTCATATTGCTGATTCTGTTTGGTGTTTTTCCTCTATGATCTGGATAAATAAATAAACTCCCAATTATGATAGATAAGGTAAAATGTGGCTGTTCCTATACTCCTGGTAAAGTTGTCATTTGGTGAGACTTTCCCCTTTAGTTGAAATTCTCCAAGGGAGAAACAAAACAAAACAAAACAAAACAAAACAAAACAAAACAAAACAAAACAAAAGAAACAAACAACAAATCCAGGAGCAAATAGCCCACAAATCAACAAAACAGGTAAAGTTTTGCGGAGTCTGATCGCTAGAGGGCAGTAGAGTCCATGCTACTTATACTTTGGTTCCTTCCCCGCACCCTGACCCTGACCTGTGCCCTGCCCCGCCTTCTCTTCCTGTGAGTGACCAAGTGGACTCTCCCGGAAGCGGGTGCTTCTCATTTCTAAGGAATCAGAGCATTACATTTTCTCGGAAGCTTGTACAAAAGTAGAAAGTAAAACCCCTTCCCAGACCTGAAGGTGTGATGATGTTCTTTTCGTTTCTGTGACACTTAGCTCTTTTTGTTAAGGTGAATGCTTCCGGAAAAAAGAAGGGAGTGGCCACAGGTTTCCAGCGTCCCTGAAAAAAGCCAGCGTCCTTCACTGAGGCAGGTCTCCTGGGAGGCCTCATTTTCGAAAACCCAGTTTCAGGTGAGACTATAAAAGGGGCAAGGCCAAGCTGTTTATTCCAAACAAAAAATTGTACGTGAAAAACAAAATAATATCCAAATGAAGTATTAATACATGTTTGGCTTTTTACTAACATTGCTATTTGTTTGTCGTCACTGGGATTTGGAAGAAAAAGTGGCCTTTTAATACTTTTTTGCTTCCTTTTTCTTTCTGTCCCTTAAAAAGCTTTCACTTCTGGTAAAATAAAGATTTGGTGGAAATTGTTCTCTGAATATACTTTGTGAGTGCTTATTTTGTGTTTGATTCGTAAAGTAAGGTTATAATGTCATATTTCACTGACTTTTTCCGAGACTCCTCCTCCTCCAGCTATTGGTGATTGTCATTGCCACCTTCAATATCTTATGCATAAATATTCCACCAACAGTTTTTTAATAAAAAGTAAATTTAGTCTATATCTTTGACCGCAGAACACTTTAAATTTTTCCTGTAAACATACAGGAGATCTAATTTTAGTTGATGAAGAAAGGAATTCTTTAGAAAAACATTTTAAAGAAATGTGAAACCTCATTCTGAGAATTTTTTTAGAAAACCCAATTAGATATGGTTATATTCTAAAATATCCATTTCAAACAACAGTTCTGGGCGCGGAGTAGACAACTAATTTGTCCAACAAAAATCTGAATCTATTGAGCATACTATCTTCCAAAAACTATGCTGGGTATACTTACTGTGTCTGATTGGCCTAACATATCAAACCTTAATAAAAGTGATTGCTGAATCTATGATTAATCTTGACATTTATTGTATTTTATTTCACTAATTTTTCTTAATCTCCATCTTCCTCACAAAAGTGCCATGTGAGACATATAAATTTTTTCTGATTGCAGTGGACTGAATTATCTTGGCATGAGAATTTTAAACAAACTGTAAAATTATTATAAACAAAGTGCAATGTCTCAAAGAAAGTGTAGTCAATTACTAGTTTTGATGATGGTTTTTCTACAAAATCCCTATATGTTTTCCTTCAAACTTTCTTTTGTGACACTCGTAGATAGTGATGGCACTCTGCCCCTCTCACACAAATTCATTTTGGAGATTTTCAAGGGATTTAATTCCTGTGTGGCTCAGGACTTCACAAGTAACTTCCTGGAAGTCTTTGCCATAAGACTATTTTGGACCAAGATGGTCCAGGCTCACATTAACGTTCTTCTTGATTTACAAGTCTACTGTTATTAATGCAGTGGTTCTATTTTCACTGATCTTTCTTAGGGAGCTACAAGATATAACTTTAAGGAGATGGTGTACTTATGTGAAGTAATGCAGTGATAATATTTTAAAACGAGACTCCTGGAAGGCAGCCACTGACAGTAGATTCTAACAAGTCTTTCTTAAGAAATACTTTGGAGTTCAAAGTTAACCTCAAATATGTTATCTTTATTTCCTTAGAAACAAAAAAGAAATCCTTAGACCTCAAACAGTCATTGGCATTTCAGGTATGAAAACCTGCATTGTTGAGAGACTTTTTCTAGAAATAGGAACCTGTCAGAACTTGTATCGCCTCCTTTGAATAAGATAATGTTCGTTTGGCAACTTTAACAGAAGAAAGCTTCTTTGTGGAGGAAGAGAAAGAGGAACATCTTTTAGGGGGTCCTTTCTTCTCTGTAAGATTATGCTGAAGAGATACTTGATAATGTTGGGCTTCGGAGAGGATGACCATAGTTAACCTGACGTTTAATCCAGTTCACTTAGCGTTCCAACTTGCACTACTCTGCCAAGAGTCTCTGGTGGACTTGAGGACTGTCCTGCCCTGGAGAAAAATAGTCAGTGAATCCTCTTTTCCTGTGCATAGTGTTGTCCTTTAGCTGTTCTCTGTTACTGTGGCATTATTTCTGGGTGGCCTCCAACATACTTGGTTTTGCATGGATTTTCCATTCAACCATATGACTCAGGACTTAGGATGACTTGATTCTCTCTATCCATTATGTGATGGAAAAGTGAAAACACCATTTTACAGATGAGGAAAATAAAGATAATAAAAAGTTACACAGTGTAAAAACGGGCAGGCGGCTGGGCTGGTGCTTCAGGCCTGTGATCCTAGCACTCTGGGAGGAAGCTGAGGCAGCAAGATCATAACCACAAGCCCAGCCCAGGATGTAGCTCAGTGTGAAGCCCCTGGGCTGAGTACCCAATACCACACACACACACACACACACACACACACACACACCCAGCAGGGATGTAAGGCCACAACTTTGGACGTGACAGACTCTTGTTTTCATGCACAAATTGTACCTGTAGTTACTACTCAACAGGGAAACACGGGCCACACCCAGCTTGAACAGACCAGTCAGTCAAATGAGAGAGTCACTGCTACTAACGCAGCAGAACCTTGTACCACAGGCTCTTCTGTGACCCGACCACCGACCACCGTGAGGACTGTGAGGCAGCTGTCCTGCCGCAGCAGCCTTTAAACAGGGAAGCTGCGTCTTGATTCACACCTAATAAGCACCAGAGACTGCAGCTATTTTACAGAACAGCAAAACAAGTTTCAGCAACCCAGATCTTTATCTGCTTCCCTTGAAAAGCCTACATGCTGAAATAGGCTGGTTACATTTTAATCTCAGTTATGTAAATGATTGTTTTGAAAGCAAACTGGTGCATCTCTAAAAGGCATTTTTCTCCTTTCCTTTGACGTCCACTAAATATCTGTCTCTGTCTCTCTCTCTCTCTCTGGAGCTACGTTAAGTACACATAGAAAATAATATAAATTGAATGGGTGTTGTTTCTGGTCATGACATTTTTGAATATTAGCCAACTATAACTAACATTTCTTAAGCCTTACCTTGAATAGGCTTAATTTATATTATATCAAATGTGCTGTATATCTTATAACTTTGACTATTTTTCACTTCCCTCAAGTCGCTCTCTCCTTGGCCTTTACAAGTAATCACAGGCAGCCACAGAGCTGCTTGCCGTCACTACAGACTAGTTTTTCTTCATTAGAATTTCATAGTTGGTTTGTTCATATCAATATAATAAACATTTGTTTCAAGCTTTGACCTACTACAAATAAAGATGCTAAGAAGACACATGAGAAAGTTTTTTGTTGATGTAACACTTTATTTCTCTTGAATAGAATTGAAAAGTAGAAATGCAAGGTTATGAAAGAACTTATATGTTTTATTTGTTAAAAAAACCCACCAAGCAACCTTTTTCAAAGTAGCGGTACAATCTTATATTTCCACTATTAAAGTCTGAGTGTTTCCATTTCTTAGTATCTTCACCAACACTTGGTATGGTCAGTCTTTTTAATTTTAGTACTTCTAGCAGGTGTGTAATGAGTTTTTATTGCTGCTTTACTTTGCTTTTCCCTAATAAAAAATGATACTGGGAAACTTTTCATGAATTTATTTACTATGTGTGAAATCTCTGTCCAAATCTCTTTTGCCCTTTTTTAAAAAAATTGGCTTGGTTCTTTTTCTGTTATTGTGCATGCGTGTGTGTGTGTGTGTGTGTGTGTGTGTGTGTAAGTGTATGTGTGTATATACAAGTCCTCTATTTTATTTCTTCCTAGCCTATGGTTTTCTCTTATCAGTTCAAGAGCAGAAATTTTAATTTTAATGAAATCTAATTATACATTTGTTTTTTTGTGGAACTTTGATTTGCAATGCATATAAAATATCTTTGCCTACTTCAAAATAAAAATATTTTCTTTTATCTTTCCTTCTAATACTTCATAGTTTTAAGATTAACATGTAGGTCTATGATTCACTTTGAGTGACTTTTGTGTGTGGTGTGAATTATTTTTCCAGTTTTATTGTTTGCATATTGATGTTCAGTCATTCTAGCATCATTGATTCAAGATTGTCCTTTCTCCAGTGCATTCATTTCCTTTGCACTTTGTGAAACATATTTTGTCCATATATAAAGTTATTTTTGTTCTATTGGTTTATTTTTTCCTCTTTGCGTAGTACCAAACTATCTCCATTATGCCAGTCTAATATAAGCCTTGACATATTATAACATTAATCTTTAACTTCTGTTCTTGATTTTCAAGCAGCTTTTGGCTATTCTAAGCCTTTTTCATTTCCATTTGAATGTCAGATTCAATTTTTCATTTTCTGCAAAGTAAAACCTTTTAAGATTTTAAATAGAATTACGTTGAATATGTAAATCAGTTTGTGATAAAGTGACATCTTGACAATATTGAGTCTTTTGGTGCATAAGAAAAGTAAATCTATTCTTTGCTTAGGTTTGTTTGATTTCTTCCAGCGTCTTTTGTAGTTTTCAGCAGTCTTTGAGTCTTTTGTTGGATTTTTCTCCCTTAAGTTTTTCATGTTAGTTGGTGTTATTGTAATTGGTACTGATTTCTAAATTTCAATTTCTAGTTGTTTATTGCTAATTATGAAAACACAATTGATTTTGTATGCTGATTTTATATTTTAAAAACACACTAAATATTTATTCATTCCCCTTTTGACCCTACATCGTGGAGAGTTTCTTTATATATTCCATTATATTTTATAAAGGAAGTTTTATTTTTTCCTTTCCAATCCGATTTTTATCTTTTTTTCATGTCTTACAGCACTATCTAAAACCTCCAGTAAAATATTAAATACAAATTTTGAGACAAGATCTTGCCAAGTCACTAAATTACCCAAGCTGGGCTTGAACTTGTGATTCTCCTTCCTCAGGCTCCCAGAGTGCTGGGATTACAGGCATGTGCCACCCTACCCAGCTTAGAATTTCTTTCTTTTTCTACTTTCTTGAAAATATTCGTCAGGTGTCTTCGATTTTGTCCAATGCTTTTTTTGTATCTATTTAATTAATTTTTAAAGTACTAATATGACAGAATATTAATTGATTTTCAAATGCTTAACCAAATTTAAATTCCTGGAGTAAAGCTTAATTTTTGATAATTTAATATGTTTTTAATACGTTGTTCAATTAAACTTGCTAATTTTTTGGTTTTAATTTTTACATATATATTTAAGAAATATATTCATCCATAGTTTTCTTGT